TGCGTCTTTCAGAGAAAATATTTTCTTATCTACATTCAAGAGCAAGAAATATATTTGATCTACATTTAAAAAATATCACCGAAATAATAACTGCAGATATATTTTTAGTCAATCTTTTTTTATATCAATTTACACGAAGCTTTACTGTTTAACGAAATTAAAACGAGAGACTCAATATTGACAATATAGAATGCGAGAAACTATTTTTAATTCAAGCTTATAAAGATTTTCGAATGATATATATACGCGCGTTAATAATGGAAAAAACGTCGTTACATTTCTCATCCCTCGTTTCGTCCTGGAAAAAATATTATCTTCCGAAATCTCATTTTAGTGGCGTTGCGGATTCCTGCTGTTTCGAAAGAACCCTCGTTTCGCGAAGGCACGAGAACGAAAAAAGAACGCCTAGGGAACGGAGGAGGCGTGTCGAAAAGACAGAAATTGCGCGAATTATGCGAATTAAGTGAGCTCGCTGAGTAGTGACAAAGCTGCGTAATGAAGATACCGAGGAAGGCGTGTCGCGAGAACCGGGAGGGTGACTGCGAGGCGCACGGTAGGAAAGGAATAAGGAGCAGTTGAAGGGTATAAGGCGAAATGAAGTCTGCAGGGTGGACGTCGAGAAGAGAGGAGGAAAGCTGGTAAAATTCTTGGAGTCATGGGCGACGAAAGAAAGAGAGAAAGACAAGAGAAAAAGAGAAGAGTGTCGGAAAGTGAAAGAAAGAACAGACGGAAGATGGAGCGTCGAGGAGACGGTTGTGTACCAAGGGTGGATGGTGTGTTGGTGGCCCGCGAAAACCGGGTGGAAAGGGAAATGGAAGAAGAGTTGTTGCCGCTATATACTCTGCACTTCTGCTGCTGCTGCTGATATTGTCGTCATTGTATGAGAGCGCGTTGCGTAGCCATTCTGTGTGTGTGTGTGTAGAAATAGCGGACGGTGCGCCACATGCCGCGCCCGCAGCCGATGGAAATGTAAAACTGCGACAAGTCTTGGAATAAAGTGGCTGAATAAAATACAACTAAATCCCCCGTTGCGGCTCGGCTACACGCAGACCGTGGGATTCCCGGATAGAGGCTGATGCGGAATGCGGCGCAATGCCGCCGCGACCATCGCGCCTTACCGCGACGCGACGACTGTGCATCCCCGTTTCGGATGAAACAGCGAGGAAAACTTTCTCGCGGGAATACACGAAAAGGGAAACGACAGTTACACCTATTCGGCTGATTCCTTCAATTTCTTAGCCTCGTACGAATTATCGGCACCGATATTTACAGATGTATATATGCGTCAGAGTTTAAAATGAGGTGTCTTTTTATGTTGTTGGTTTGTCTTGTGTCATCTTCAATAACTTTTTTTTAAAAAAGACGTGGTTAAAATTGTCAAGAAGGACGATGTCAACGCCTACGGAACGTTTTAATTTCTCGCATATTAACGATGAAACTATTCGAGATCTGAGTAAAATCAAAGATCATATCGAGGCGAACATTGTTGAACATGACGGATTAAAACACGCGTAACTGCTCATAAACTCTCGACTCTGAATAACTAAAATTAAATTTGATATTATGTGAATTTTTTAGAATTTTGTAATTATACTGAAGAAGATCGCGTGCGGTCGAAACGTTTATTTTATTATTTTAGAATGACTGTATTTTTTGCGTAAGTTGTCATATTGAATGATTGTAGCTTAATAACTTATACATGAAATAAATGTTATTGGACCGAACAACTCTAATAATTGCTCGATAAGTTGGTCTTTCATTTATCACTTTTGTATTTCAATATACGAGCGAATCTTTGTATCAATTGTTTTTTATATATGCTTTATTGTAAAAAAAAAACATTATTTATAATTGCCAAGATCGAGATCCTAAATTCGAGTATAATAATTAGACTGAAAATGTCTCAATTATGTTTACGACGCCTTTTCAACGAATATGAGACAAACTTTATTTACCACTTTGGAGTAAATTATCAAATTTACTGCTCATTGGCTCGCCAGAATGTCCGTTTAGGGGTTGAAATCGCTTCGGACTCACGGAAGTGACGGAAACGGTCCGCTCGACATGAAAGATCGCCCTTTCCGTTTCTCCTCCGCAGACACATACGCTGGATACGACGGGTACCTTGGGTGACCGGATGCATTATCTGCCTGTTCGGACAACGTGTAAGTGTAATTAACACGCCGCCGCTCATAACGAGGACAATGTACGCAGTCGCACTAATGAGAGCAAATTAGCTCGTTTGTGCCAGTTTAGCTTCACCTCCTTGCTCTACCTAGTCGTTCTATCTCTCTCCCTCTCTCTCTTTCTCTCTCTCTCTCTCTCTCTCTGTGCGGTCAAGAATGCAAATTTGACCGTTTCGCGCACGCCCATCTACACCAAATGCGAATTTCTGTCGAGCTTCGTTGACGAATTCAGCGTTGCCAACGTTCTGCGGCATACGGTTTCAAAATTCATATCCGACGTTGACGGGATGTCTTTGACGCGTTGTCCACGTTCATGTATTTTCTAATAAATCGTCGGCCAGTGCACGATTAATTTTGCACTTATATAAAAAACAAACCAATCGTTTACAATTTTATGATCAAATATCATATAATCATAAAAGCGTTTAGATAACTTTGAAAAAAAAACTTTATTTTTTTTACTGTAAACCAATTAAATTTTATAGTAGAAAAATACCCTATTATTTGTAACACGTTATTTCTTGTATAAACATATATAAATTTTTATCCATTATTTGCATAGCTATCATTCACTTTTATAATTAAATTTTTTTATTTTATTTTATTAATCATTAAATATTTTAATTTTAATTAAATAGTGTGTGCGTTACGATTCTACGATGCACGTCGTTTCTAAGTACTTATTTTGTAATCTTCGATTTCCCGAAGCATGTGAGCAATGAAGTCGAGAGGGGCTAGTCGAATCGATTTTAAATAGAACCATTCACAAGAATCGATGTTTCGACTTTTCGACAAGTATTGCGCCTGGAATTTTCTGGATTTGCATAGGATCAGAGTCATAGCAGCTGCTCGAATACGTATGTAGGTATATGTATTTCTTCTTCTAGTTTATCCGATTTGTGTTACGCTGAACTTTTCCGCGTTTGCACGCACATTTAAAAATTTAATTTCATAAATTAATAGAAACTAATGTATACGATTTTTGACCCTTTAGAATAGTTTTTATATATTCGCAAGATTCTTTATATTCAATATAATATAAAACTAAATTTTTCAGTTACTAAAAGATATCAGAAATTATACAATATTGCGATAGTATTGATTGGTGTCGTATTGTCTTTTAAATATAGTCGAAATACATTTGGGAATAACCGTAATCTATTTTTGATACAAACATGGTACAAATAAAACTACTTTTACGTTATATTTTTTTGGGCAACCAATATCGTGAAAAGCCGGAGCAAACAATAACCATATCGAGCTTAACTGAATTTCAACACCTGCACTCATACATGTAGTATATTCGTTTATATAACACAAAGTCCGCATACAAAATTATCATGGAAAACGGATTTTTTTTTCTTGGATACTATTATCAGTGTTGAACTTAAACTTTCTTTGCAAGAATACATTTAGAAAAAGCGCTCATCTAAAAAGATTTCTTTTATCATCAGCTCTCTGTAATACAATGACAATTAACATCCAATTGCGATGCTTTTATCAAAATATCTTGAAGGTAGATTTCCTTTTATACTGATTGTAAGGAAATTTTATATTCAGACTTTAAGGTGAATATAAATTTTTAAATAAAACAAATGTGAAAAATATGGAAAGTATTACTCCAAAAACATCACATTATTATTTTATTCTTTTTCTCATAATCATTGCAATTCAGTGGCACCTGCACAAGGACGTTGAGATCAATCTTTTATTTACCGTCGAGGCTCTATATGTGCGAACATTCGAAGCAAATATATCGGCTAAAATATCGACGGACATCATTATTAGATGATCGACACAGTTTCATATTGCACAAGTTGTTAATTAGTTCACCAAATGGACAAACCGTTGCAATAATATTGACTTAGCTAATAAACCTTCGTGTATTACAAGTAGCTAACGCAGATTTTAATCAATCCCCGTTTATATCTCGATTTCCAATCGTTAAAAACGAAAGGAAACAAAAGGAGCATTATTCAATCGATAAAACACAGTGTGTAAAAAATCTATAGTTTTATCAACTTTTTTACACATTACAAAAATACTATGTAATTTTTTCTTCCAAGACAATCTTTGCCAATCGGATTTGACAGGCTTCGAATATTCGAAGAAATATTATCGTCATATATACGTATGTAGCAATATTTTACTAAAAAATACACTATGTTCTTTTTTCGTTTCGTCGAAAAAGGGGCAGCCTTATTAGTGGTTTTTCCAAAACGTGCTCGGGCAGCACGATGGTCGAAGAACTTCCTGAGCTTACGTACGAGGGATTGCTGGTGATACGTCGGCCGTTAAACCGGCTTGAAAATAGTTTCCGGAACTAATTTACTCGTGGGGGTCAGCGTCGTCGTCGCCGCCAAATATCCTCTTTATTTAACGTTCCGGCTATCGTCCTCGAAATCGCTGCGGTTGCGAGAAGTGAACTTCGAACATCGGATGTAACACCCGATCCATTCCTTGACTACGAATCAATATTATCTTTGATCTAACGTCGTCAACGTTGAATATAGTTTGAATACCAAGAATTCCTCGCTCGAATTACTTGCAATCGAATCAACGTACTGGTGTTGAATTAATTCTAGTTATGATCGCCGAATGGAGAGAGAATATTCATTCTACGTATAAAATTATAAAAAACTTTTTGTTATAAATAAAAAATATTTTGTTATTTTTCTTTCGAAATAATCCTTCATTAAATATTGTATTTTAAAATATTGTAATTTCGGAAGAACTTTTTTCGCCTTTTTTAACTTTTAACGAATTTATCCTTGTCAGCTTTAGAGCCTAATTTTGAATTATAATTTATTTCAGGTGATTTATCCCTACGTAACTGCGACTCCGACAAGGAGTAACCATCGAGGTACATGAACGAAGGACATGAACTACTCGCAAGGTAAGCCAATGTTGAAATATTCTGCATTCGAAAATATAACGTAGAAACATATTTCCGGAAGTATAGACGAGTTTGCTTTACGATAGAGAGAAAGAGAAAGACGCGTCATCGATATATTTCCGTGTATATTTATCGAATTCACCCAAGGTTTGTCGCCGTCCGATTTCCAGCCCGGCCAAGTGAGCGAGAGGCGGTCTGAAACAGTTCGGAAATTCACTCAACTAATCAAATACCGCTAAAACCGCTAAACAAGTTAGGTTAGCAATCTACGTGCTCCGAATGGTAACTTCGAACTGCTGCGGCTGCGAAGCGCGAAAACGCTCGCGACTGCCTCCGCAATCCGCACGCCATCTTCGCCCTCTCTCATCCACCTACATTCCTTAACGAGGGGAAACGACTCGATGCAGACGTGTACGGATCACCTAATCGACGGTCAAAGTTACGCTCTCGCAGGTTTTGACTTTGTCCATCATGTTGTCGTCCGATACAAGAGTATTAGGTCTTTTAATTTGAATATTTCAAAATGTGTGAGAGATCGGAAAAAAATTACAATATTTTCAAACACGCGAGAAAAGTTATATAAACGTCGTGTCTTCATATCAAAATATATATATATATAGAATATTGAAAGTAAAAATTAAAAAAAGTTATGATAAACCGTGTTTATTTCTTAAGTAAATAAATATCTTCGTGATTTTTTTATTGAGTTGAACCGTAAAATTAAAATCTACATAATAATAATTGAATGCACAAATTCGAAAAACTACTAAAACTGATTTATTAAAAAAAAAAAGGTAAAAATCTTCTCTCGACCGTACTGGCAAATATCACTTATTCAATCACAACGTTTCGACCCTTCTTTGAGTTCTTATCAAGTGATCTAGATATACATAGACAGAGATTAATACATTAAAAAACAAAATTACTTCACTAACAATATTACAAAATGATAAAAAGAAAAAGAAGCGAGACTTACTTGTAAAAATAAAAATAAAATTATAATTCTAAGATGTCAAGAACGAACATAGTGTCGGTTTGACAACACGTCAAGACTCTTAGACGAGTTATTGGAGACTAAACGACCTTTATTATTTTGTCGTAGATATTACTTAGATTGTCGGTATCCTTTTGTAAATTAATAGCGTTATTATTTCCCTTAATATGCTTTATTTTTATACGGAATTAATCACTACTAATTAAAAGCTAATTATGAAGCCAAGTATGAAAATGTTAAAAGTTTTTTCATACATATAATAAATTTGCACAAGTAAAAATAATCGCGCATAAACATATATCCCTATCTTTTTCCACGACAGATTGATTCGCGCGCAAAAAAGAGAAGAACGCGAAAAGGAGATATTAAATAAAGACATCAAGCGTATACGTGCATAAAGAAGCACTCTTCTCCGTTTGATACGCGTGTGTCTAGGCCATTAAATCTCCATACAGACACGTCCGGGACGCGTTTCACGTAGAAGCGGCACGTAAAACGGACTCGTAACTCGCATTTTTTACAATCTGTCGATGGAACTATTCAAAGCGCATTTGACGACGAGATGCTCGCCACGCCGTCTGAATCATCGCAATAAAATCGAACGTGACGGGGCGAGCGTCTAGCAGCTCGCCCCAGAGCGAAAGGGGGTCTGCATGAGTAATTCGATCGGAGCAACTAGGCGGCAGGTCAATGAGGAGTGTTAAATGTACATCTCACAAAATCACGCTACACCGAGCAAGAAGTCCGACCTAGTTTCGCCATCGGATGGGTGGTCGGATGAAGCGTGCTTCGCACACGCGTGTGTGTGTGTGTGTGTGTGTGTGTGTGTATGTTGTCCCTGTTTGTACGAGCGCAAACACCTGCGTGATGATGATGGTGGAAAACGGGGAAAGTCCATCCATGCGTACGTATCGCGGAAACGCAAACGAAGTCTTATATACCTCGCTCTATCCTCCGTCGTGCTCTCTACTACTTACGAACACGCTAATTACCCAAAGGAATTTGCCGGCATTCGTTCTCCTTCCGCGTATCTAAAGACCTCGTTTAAAGCGTTATCAGGCTTTCGTGAATTTAGTAGCCGTATTCCGCAAGGCGGGAGCTCTATCACGGCGTTAACGCGATAATAAAAAGGAGGAACATTACCGTGGCTATGTAATTAAAACTTGGAAGACCTCGAAAGGAGTAGTATAAAATAATAAATCTTATTAGAAATTGAGATAAAATAAAATATATGCGGGAGAAAATCGATTGCAAATTTATTCTCGTTCTTCATTATAGACAGCTTTTTCCGTCACTGTGTGTTATAAAGATTTAAAAAAAAAAACGATCTGTATTATATGAAATTCGCAATTAATCTGTTCTATATAAAAATTTCACAGAATATTATTATTTTCATCATAGATTCTCGATATTATTAATTTTCGTTATTAAGTATCTGAATAATTAAGAAAGATGAAAATTAAATTTCTGATATAATTTCCCTTCGTTTAATTTCATTCCAATTAGAGTATTTATAAAAAAGTGCGCGCGTTGTTTTTTTATTCTCGATAAGCGAAATTCTATATGACACAATATAAACGATATTAATGTTTGACAAAAGAAGAAGAAGAAGAAGAAGAAGAAGAATTCTTGCATGAAAACAACAATTATTTTGGTCCATCGACTAAAAACATTTGTTTGTACAGTTTCAAAAGAGAGTACACGCTACAATACGAGAAAAAAAATGTTTTATAAATTTTATTTAGATCAATACTCTGACACAGAATCCATAAAGCCGATTAACGTTTCGATAACCGATTGGCTGCGCACAGCGCAGCAACACAGTGTTCCCGTTTCTCGTTTTGGCAATTTAAATTTCCAACGGAACTGAATACAATAAAGACAGTGAATCGGCGCAGATTGCAAACAACTGTTTACCAAGAGCTCAAATTACGAAAGACAAATCAGGCTGATCTCTCGTCCGTTATTTACTCGGGCGATTTCAGCAAATGAACCGTTCCAAATCGATCTACAAAAGCATTTCGTTTTAGTCTGCATCGATAATGACACTTTGGTTTCACTGCGTCAACTACGATTAATTGATTCGTGCTAGCCGAGCCATCTATTATCGCCGCAGATGCACACGGATTTGTTGTAAATTGACTCACATGTCTGGCGCTCTCCCGAACTGCGCGATTTAATTATACGGACGGACGGTGAGATAGAGAGAGAGGGAAAGAGCTCATTGCGCGCGCCAAAAGTTCAATTAGACTCGCGGGTTCTATTTGTACCCGAGCTTGATCAGCGATAGGAAATTTCACGCAAAAGTGCACGCTTTCCATCACGAACGAATGGGATTATGGAGACGACGGTGGATTTTACACCATTCGCAGATGCGTAGGTATGCTGAAATTATTCGACGCTGTCGGTATACACAGGAAAAATCAAATAACTTCCGCTGTAAAAACGTCGAATTTCTGACGCTCGTGTAACGCAATTTTGTGTAGAAATACATTATTACACGCACTTTCCCGTTGCATTACTCGCATCGTCGAAAATTGTGTAATTTATTTCGTTCAATTCGCAATGTTGATGTGGAGAAGAAGAGGGGAGATGCAGGGAAACGAATAATAATAATAATAATAATAATAATAATATTAATAATAATAATAATAATAATAATAATAATACCGCGCAGATGAACGGGGGCGCATCTGGAAAATTGACGCGTTATTAACAGTTTCATTGATACTCGATCTTTTCGCGAATATTTCTCGCGATATTTGGTGGATGAACCGTTCGGTATATACGAACTGGTTATGACTATCTCGTATATCGGGCGCAATCGCTTTGCAAACGGCCAGAAATAAACGAGCCGGCGCCAGTTTATGCAGCTTTTAATCGCGGAGGAGTACAAAAGCACGATGCTGCGAGATATATATATATATATATATATATATATATACGTACATATATCGGATGCGCACACGCAGCGCGGACGTGGACTTGTGCAGCGCGTGTAATTCCCGAACGAGGGAGTTGTGGCGATGAGATACCCGAGCGAATCTATATGGCCGATGCAAGGCGCGCTATCGATCACGCGTCGGTGTTGCCCTTTGATGCGTGAAAAGATTGTAAAGTCGCGATATATATATATGGTATATCGGATTTTTTTTGCCCCGTGTGTACGTGCGCGCGGCCTCTCTATTTTCTCAATTGTTTTATCTTACTTGATTATTCTTCTGTATTCTTTCAATTACGATGGCTAATCAATCCTTTTGACCGCGCTCGACATCCAGTCGAGTACGTATGCAGATGCTTTAAACATGCATACTGTATTTTTCTCCTGTCCGTGTGCGACGAAAGAGAAATATTCTTTCGGACGGCGTTTATGCGTTTCTATGAAATATGTTTAAAATATTCAAGACTTGTTTGGCAAAGGATATTACCGCGACAAAAGAACACGGGACGCTCGCAACTCTCTCTCTCTCTCTCGCTTTGTGCGTCGTCCGAGAAGACTCGGGGATTGAAATTAACATGGGATCTCTCCGGAGTGCGTTTCTCCACTGAGGGAGAACCGACGCGACGCGGCGTGTCTCGTTAATATGGATTTCACTAACGATCCGACTAATTTGTACCGCTCTCCTCTTCATTCGGAGAGGGTATCCCTCCGTAAAATAGCAAACGAGACGAAAGTAGCGGGAAGGCGTCGCAAGGACAAAGGATGCATCAGGGATCAGTGTCCGCTTGTACATCGGCCTGGATCCGTGGAGAACCTAATGGCTGTCTCGGCATACATTTGCATGTGAACGACCGAGGAAGGTTTCTGGATTACGAGCGTGTTTCCTCTCTCCTCGCCGGGTGGTCTCTCTATTGGGCAGATAAACGAGATAATGTCGAATATGAGGACAATTAGGCCGCGAAAGAGGGAAAAAACATGTTGACAGCATGTCTCTCCTTGCACCCTCGGGATGTGCCGATTGCCTATCTGACCTGAGCGTGTACATGTGGAATGCAATTAAAAATC